TGATGGGCGACATGAATGCGAAACTGGGAGGAGACAATACAGGAAGAGAACTCACCATGGGTCGTGAGGCCCTCGGTGAAATGAACGAAAATGACGAACTCTTCTCAGACTTCTGCGCCTTCAATGATTTGGTGATTGGTGGCAGTGTGTTCAAACACAGGGATATACACAAGGCAACATGGATTTCACCAGATGGACACACCAAAAACCAGATAGACTTCATTTCAATCTCAAGGAAGTGGAGACGGAGCCTACTGGACACAAGATCGAGGAGAGGAGCAGATGTGGGTTCAGACCACTATCTAGTACAAGGGACTTTCAAGGTGAAGCTGAAAGCCTCGAGGATACCTGGGGATAGGCCACAATGCAAGTTCAACACTCACAAACTGAAGGACACAATCACACAGGACATTTTCACTGCAACTGTCAGAGCAAAGCAGGAAACACTACGTGGCACCACTGAGGAATCACCCGTGGAAGACCACTGGAACTCTCTGAAGGTAATTTTCAACGAAACGTGCTCAACGGTTTTAGGAAGAAGGAAGAAACAAGACAAGGAATGGCTCTCAACGGACACTTGGAAGCTAATAGAGGAGAGGAGAAAGGTGAAAGAAAAAATGATTCAATGCAAAGATGGACAAGAGAAAGAGACGCTGAACTCAACTTACACAGCACTAGACAAAGAAGTGAAGAAGAGTGCCAGGAAGGACAAAAGACAATTCTACGACAACCTGGCTACTGAAGCTGAGAAGGCAGCAGGCAAAAGGGACCTGAGGACACTATATCAGATAACCAAGTCTCTATCCGGGAAGAGATCAACACAAGTGAAACCTATAAAAGACAGCCAAGGGAACCCAATTACCAAAGAAGAAAGACAGATTAAACAATGGGCGGACCACTTCAAAGGACTCTTGAATCGACCACCACCTACAACCCGTCCAGTAATACCAACAACAGCACGTACACAACTGCAAGTTGACACCAATCCTCCAACGAAAAGTGAAGTCATGAATGCAATCAAGCTTCTGAAAGCTGGAAAAGCAGCTGGACCAGATGGAATACCCCCGGAAGCACTGAAAGCGGACTCAGAAACGACGGCAGATATGCTTACTCCATTATTGCAAAGGATCTGGAAAGAGGGAAAGGTGCCTACTGACTGGAGGAAAGGTTACCTGGTGAAACTACCAAAGAAGGGCCACCTAGGACTCTGCAAGAACTGGCGAGGAATCATGCTCCTGTCGTCGCCAAGTAAAATCCTGAGTCGCATCATCCTGGAGAGAATCAAGGACGCACTGGATACAGAACTCCGACCAGAACAAGCTGGATTCAGGAAAGGCAAATCATGTTCTGACCAAATTGCAACTCTACGCATTATCATCGAACAAAGCATGGAATGGCAATCAAACCTCTACCTCAACTTTATAGACTTTGAGAAGGCCTTCGACAGCGTTGACCGCGAAGTTATTTGGAAACTACTCGAGTACTACGGCGTACCCCAAATATTCATCAACCTTATCCAACAGCTGTACGACAACAGCACATGTCAAGTGATCCACAACGGAAAACTCAGCGAGGCGTTTGGAGTAAACACAGGAGTCAGACAAGGGTGCTTATTATCACCAATGATATTCCTAATTGTGGTGGACTGGATTATGCGTCAGACAGTGGGAAACGAGAAGACAGGGATATCCTGGACCGACGTGAAGAACCTAGAAGACCTGGATTTCGCGCCTGGATGATTTATGTTTGATGTCACACAAAATCGAAGACTTACAAGCGAAAACCGACAAACTGGTCGAAGAAGCTGGCAGCAAAGACAGGACTCCAGGTGAACATAGACAAGACGGAGGTTATGAAAATAACCAACCAACAACAGCAGCAGCAACATCCAGTGCCAATCACCATCAACGGGAGGGATTTGAAAGAGGTTACTTCATTCACTTATCTAGGGAGCATTGTCTCAACTACAGGAGGAACGGACGAGGATGTCAAATCGAGAATCGGGAAGGCGAGAAACACATTCATCAACCTGAAACCAATCTGGAAATCTTCGTCACTCAACTCAGCATCAACAACAAAATTCGGATTTTCAATACAAACGTCAAGTCAATTTTGCTTTACGGATCAGAAACTTGGCGGGTCACCAAGAATATTTTCAACAGGTTGCAGACCTTTATCAACAACTGTCTTCGCTCTATACTGAAGATCAGATGGCCGGAAAGAATCACAAACAAGAAACTATGGGAACAAACAAAACAAGAACCAATCGCCCAACAAATATGCAGGAGAAAGTGGAGATGGATTGGACACTCGCTGAGGAGGCCGTTGGGTGACATCGCGCGTCAGGCCCTCGAGTGGAACCCGAAAGGGAAGCGGCGAGTGGGACGTCCAAGGGTGACATGGAGGAGATCGTGTGAAGAAGAGTTGAAACAGTATGGACTAACATGGATGCAAGTGAAAAGTACAGCAGAAGACAGAAGCAAGTGGAGACGTGTAGTTGAAGCCCTATGTTCCACTAGGAACCCAAGGGAACAATAATAATAATAATAGCTGTCCAGTGCTCCATGCTGGTTTTACAATAAATCTCTAACTGATATCGATACGTGATCAAATAATTAGTAATAACACTGATGACTTTTACATAAACTTTAACTTTTATAGAAATAAAAACCAAAGAAAACTTTTTATCAATCAATGCAATCTAAATTCAATGATGAATGATGACTCAGTGCACTCATACATAGATTAGATCAAGGTTAAAATGATGTGATGTGGATTACAATGTTATTATTAATTAGGCAGTTGTTTTTTTTTTTAAAAAATTTCAATGTGTCAATGTTTTTGTAATTACGAGAGAATTATAATTAATTTAATTTAGGGTAGGGTAGGGTAGGTAGTGCAACGGTAGTATTCGTAGAATTAGTAGTATATTACAGTCAGACATTTACAACAGAAGAAGAAGAAAGCAAGAATGAGGCGAAATTCTGAGTGTGTGTGTTGTAACCCACACTGATGATCATTTAACTCGTGACGAATCGATTTCAGAGTAAGAAAGAAATGAATTATTTTAGTATTCGTTGTAGTAGTAGTTATGGACAGTAGTCGGTCAGTTGCCAGATAACGAATAATGTTCAATACGTGTGTGTGTGTAATGCAAACATACACATACACATACAAGAAAAGACGTATGTGAAACCTTGAATGCTTTCAAAGACGATAATAGATAAAAAAGAAAAGATGTGACATACACGCGCATGCAGATGACACGCAAAGATTTATAATTCAGTATTGAATTGAATTCATCCTCAGCCTATAGGGAAATATTGATTGACCTTAGAAAAGGGACACGTGGTGATGGTGGGTGGGGGTAAAGTTAAGTTAGAAAACTTTTAAAAAGACACACATTTGTATGCATAGAATTTCGGCTAAGATTGAAATTTTCGCTATTCAAAAACAAAACAAAACAAAAAAAAGAATTTTTAGAAGAGAAAGAATCAAATCATTTCAATTTTTCGCTGTTGTTGTCTCATTCGGCGTTTTTCCCTTGTTTTATAAGAGGGAGAAAATGAGTAACTATTTCCTGTCTCTTTGTTTATGTGATTCTTCAATAAATGAATACACAATACACATCGTATGTGCAGTGATCAAATAAAAAGAATGCAAGGCTTTGTAGTTGTTGAGTTCTTCCTTATTGTTTGTTGTTTGTTTTTTGTGTATGTGTTTGTTGCATTGGTTGTGAAAAGAGTCCATCAACAAACATACCATTCGCCTGGTCATCATCGTAAAAACAGTAAATAAGAGTAATCCAAATCAATCTGAATTTTGATTGATCTCTTCCCGTGTTCAGATAAATTACTTTGAAGTCATCTTCAACACACGCTGATGACAAAAACGCCAAATGCTATCATTTATTTTTTGAATTTCTACACATTTACTAATATAAACAACAAAGTATCGCGATGAAATTTAGTTAATAAAGCAATGATGAAAGTGAATATAATGTTCGAATTCTGCCGTATATATATACGTAGATAAATACATTCGATGCTCATGGCATCTTTAAAAATCAATATATATATTGATTATTATTCGTTTGAAAAGATGACTAGGCCATGAATAACAGAAACGAATGGAAAGAAGAAGCAGACAAGAGGAGGCTAGAGAGGAAGATATTGATTTTTCTTAGAAGACTGTACATAGATTTATGTATATATATGTATAAATGTAGATGTGCGCGCCACGAATGTTAATCTATACCATAGGGGAATACGGGTAAAATAATAATAATAATCCAAGGGAAAAATAAAAACAATAATAATAATAATAAAACAGAAACTGATAAATGCAAATTATAATAAGGAAACTGAAGTAAAAGGTGTAACAGAAAGAGAAATGAAAAATAAATGACGAAAATAATAATAATAATACAGTCAAGTCCAAGTATCATAACCAAAGTCAAGGTCAATCAATAGGTGGTGGCTAACCTTCAAAAAACCAATCAGATTTCAGGATAACGTTATATTAAAAGATCATTACACCATAGCAAATCATGCTTCCCTCTTATTGATTTTTTTGATGAATGAGTGTCGTAAAGACCGAGTAGTAAATCTATACTGGAGTTATTGGGATATAACATATTCATTCTTACAAAACATTAAGAGACAACTATCATCCAGTGTAATATCACGTTTGTAATGTCTTTTAATACATTTTTTTAAACGATTCTGATTGGCTGCTCAAGGTCACTATGACTTCGGCTATGATACTTCAATAATAATATTAATCAATATTGACAGTGATAACAATGGCAATGCAAAAAATTAACTGGAAGATTAGAGAGAGAGAGGGAGAGAGGGATCTACAAAGTTGTAAGCGTTGAACTGATTGAGATGTAGAAACAACAACAACAAAATGAGGAGGAAACCTATTACAGTCATTCTAAAATTGGAGAGATTGACGGCCATCTTGAAAATTGTTTTACTCACAAGATAATATGAGCTGGTTTGTTCACAAAAACAACTGACAGTTTTATAAAAGGAAGGAAGGAAGAAAGAAAGAAAGATTAGAGATTAGGTGACACATAAAAAGAAACCTTTTTGTTTTTTGTAATATAAAAGTAATGATACCCTATTGACTGTTCAACCTGTTACAATAGAAAAAAAGATAATTTGATGCACTGAAGGTTAGTCAGTCAGTAGTCGATCAAAGAGGAGAACTGATGAAATAGTTGAGTTCACTTCACTACTTTTTTTTTTCTTCTTTTTTTCGTAAATAAAGCATAACAAAGGGATTAGGAGTAAGACAGACTTGGTAAAGCAATGCTGTTGACGATGACCGTTTACTCGGTAAATTAATTTCGATAATAACAATAATCATGATTAGATTATTTTTGTTTTTCATTGAGTATACGATTGTTGCATTATAGTAAAAAATATTTTAAAACTTTATTAAAATATCACCATAAGCAGAAAAAAACACGAGATGATTGAATTAACAGTTGTTGTTTGTTTGTTTTAATTGTTACTGAGAGTGTTACGTTTTTTTTGGCGGGAAATTCAATCTCAGAATGACATTTGATTAAGTTGACGAATTATTAATTAATATATGAACAACGCGCGCTTACACGCACACACGCACACAAACAGAGAACAGGCGAAAATACAACAGGATGAATGGAGCAAAATATAAAAAATTCAATGTTTCATCATCAGGTAAACAAACAAAAAAGAAACACAAGCAGTAAAACAAAAATGATGAAAAGCACCAGGAAATTTTCTAACTTCTATTTATCTAGGCTGTTTAACGTTAACAGAATCAAGTACCGATCGAGTAGTTAACGCCATAATAATCTGAGTGGTATTGTCGTATTGTGCAGCACATGACCATTGAAAATAGGAGACAGAATATCTGTTATAAATAAAAATAAATAAATAAATACAGGTTAGGCAGTTAATACGAGATAAATGGTGTGTTATGATGAAACAACATACATCATTATTAATTCTATTAAGATCCCACTGGAAAATAGGGTTTCAACAGAACATCTCTATTTTATCCCGTTCTCTGCAGTCCTCTCTGACTGGCTCCAAGATTGTCCGTCTATACTCTCTCATCTCATCCATGTCACCCGCGGACACACGCCCAACTCGTCGTTTCGCATTCTGGTTCCACTGTAGGGCCTGCTTGGTGTGTTTTGTCACTCACACAGTCTCCTCAGTGTTTCCAATCCATTTCCACCTTCTTCAGCATATTTTTTTGGGGGGGGGACAGGTTGATTCGTTCCCAGAGTTCTTCTCTTCTTATTGTTTCCGGCCGGTGATCTTCAGTGTGCAGCCAGAGGAGTGGGAAGCTGCTGATGGAAAGTTTGCAGTAGCCTGTTAGGAATGGTTTACATGGAGTATACAGAAGCACTGACTGACTTCATACTAGCGTTGAAAATCAGCATCTTGTTCTTTATGCTGACTGAGTACAGTAGTAGAGATTTCCACAGTGATTTCAGAACAATGAAGGTCTTTCTGGCTTTTCCAATTCTAGCTGTCTTTAATATCCTCATCCGTACAGCCAGTAGTTGCAATAATTCTGCCTAGACAAGTGACAGAGGTGACTTCTTTTAGATGTATCCCGTTGTCAGCGACTGGTGCTTGTTGTTGTTGGTTATCTTCATCACCTCCATCTTCTCTATACTCACTTGAAATCCTGTCTTCGGTGACAGCCAGCGCTTCTTCTGACACCTTTTTAAGTTTTCGCCTTTAAGCCTTCGAGTTTATGTGACACTGGAAATAAATTCTCCGTGAAGTCCAGATCTTCTGGAGTCTTCTAATCGGCCCAACGTATTCCTGTCTTATCGCTTCCCATGAAACGGTGCTCTGCATTATCCAGTATACCACAGTTGGGAACATACTTTGCTTTAACATCAAAATCCTATTAGTGTCCCAGAATTAACTCTATTCCATTCGAATGCGAAAAAACGTCTACCGAACTCTGCAACTGCTGACTGGATGTAAGATTAATGCGATCGTCAAGCTGATATTAAAAAATTCACCTATGAGTTAACCTGATTATCTGTCTACTGAGTGAACTTTTGTGGCTTAATGGTCTACGAGTTCGCCTTGTAACCAGAAGGTCCTGGGTTCGAACCCCGGTGGATGCGTGCGTGCTGATGAAGAGTCCCAAGTTAGGCTGACACAGATAACCACCCAGCAACAACAACAACAGCAAGCAGCAATCAGTAACAACAGAAGAAATTTGAAAGAAGTCATTTCCTTCACCTATCTAGATAGTATTCATTGAACTACACGCAGAGGTACAGATTTTCTAAATTTTGTTTTGATTATAGCTTGATTCCACACCGTATTTTTGGTACAAGTATGGAATTTTCAGCATGTGATATCGGTAGCCCAAATTTCGCAGGCCGACCATAGACATTTGGTGTGCGTCGGCGTGGGGTCCAACGCCGCGCCCTGTGCATGGTCAGCGAGATTCGTAACCGCTGTGCCACCAACGTTAAAACCAGAATTGGAGAGGTAAGACAAATCTTCATCACTCTGACATCAGTTTGGATATCTGCTGAATTCAGTCATCATGAACAACAAAATTCCTATTTTTGACACCAATTTTACATCGGTCTCTTATTCCATATGGATCAGACACTTGGCATCCGCGTCACAAAACGTATCTCCAACAGGCTACTGCAGATTTTTATCGACAGCTGACCCCTATGCTGGCTCCATACTGAATTACCAAAAGGAAAGTCTGCTAACGAATCAATCAACAACCTACTGATCAACATATATTCCGAAGAGAATAAAGATGGATCGGAGACACTCTGAGGAGACCGTTGACTGACATCGCGTGCCTGGCCATTGCTCAAGTAGAACTGGAAAGGTTAACAACAACAAGTTAGGTGTGAATCCCAGCATGACATGGAGGAGATCGTGTGTTGAGGAGGTGATGACAGCTCATGGGAAATCATGTGGCCAGCTAGAGAGAAAGGCCACAGAACAGGGTGAAATGGAGATGTGGTTTGAAGCCCTATCTTCTCCTCGGAAACCAAGGGAACAATAATAATAATAATGATAATCACCAGTATTTCACTTAAAATTACTGCTCTTATTGGCAGAGAAGAGAAAAGCATTCAATCAATGAAGAATGTTAATTTCCGTTCATCTTTCTATATAAAAGAGAATTTAACTAGAAAGCAAGCTATATTAATTAATCTGTTCATCTTTTTTTCGGGGGGTGGGGGGGGTGGTGGCTGTAACATGGAAGTTATTCAACTTTTCTTTTTGTTTTATTTCATAATAACTACCTACCTACCTAGTCGTAAATATAGCTTTCAATCAAGTATGTAACATTAAATCTTAGACTAAACAATTGTTGTCTCCAATGCTATAATCATATGCCTGTCACGTAATGTATATATATATATATATATATATGCACTGAAACACGCGTTAGATTCCAGCTTCCTTAATAAATAGATGAACAAGTATGTTCTATTCGCCGGTGAACACTATATTGTTGTATTATATGTGTCCTGCTACTGATATATAACGTTAGCTTACCTTAAGATGAATTCACATTAGTGTAATTTATTCCAGTCTATTTCGGACACTGTTAGCAGTAGTAACGTATTTATATACATATATTTATATGGCTAACTTGAAAACAACAAGGACACTATGACAAAACCTGCATAATGTAACATGAAAAACACTTAATCATGTGTGCATACCAATCACATTATGTTCTCTGCCTCTCTCTCTCTCTCCCTATCTCTCTATATATAATATAGACATTAGGAACAAGTTCAATGGTACATAAACTTGTTTGAACATGCAATCTCTCTCTCTCTCTACACACACACACACACGAGAAAAACATTGACAAATTGTACGTAAATGTATATACAATATGAATGACTAGTCTCCAGTATGGTTACCTAATTACCTTAACTTATAAAGGTAACTGAATACATACAACAAGTTATTTATTATATTGGAATCATTGATTTGATAGACAATATAGATTTTATGCACTGCACATGAAGGCAACTTTTCTTACTAGTAAAAGTTTCTGTTGTGAAAAGGACAAGAATATCAGTCAAATAGTCATAATTGAAATCAGGTTATGAATGAAAATGAAACAAATGCTGCCTAAGGAAGTACGAGTAAGAAGAAGAAGCCTCCTGATGAAGAAAGACACTGTTAGAAAGTCTTATAGGTAACGTTTCGACTAACTACTCTTAATTATTACCTATACAGATAATAATAATAATAATAATGAAACAGCTTTATTCTAAACAGTACTTTCGGTACAAATATAGGATTTTCAGTATGTAATACAATATTGCATCTGATTTTCTCATTACATGGGCAATAACTAAAGTAGGGCATTTACATTATTAATCTATAAAACAATTAGTGCGAAGTTCAACAATAGCGTCCCAGGAGTGCGAACGCTCCAATGACCTTGAACGCATGCTAGTCGTTCGTTGGCTAACGGCATCTGTCATTATCATAGCTGAAATATCAAAGCTATTCACCAACTTAGGAGCACATTTCACCCAGATCACGTTTTTAAGTACTGTTTGGACAATGTGTTAATAGCTCGTTAGGGTTAGGATTAGGGTTTGAATAAGGGTTATGATTAGAGTTAGGATTAAGGTTAGGTTTAGTGTTTGGGTCAGGATTAAGCTTACGAGCAAATTTCACCCTGATCACCTTTTTGAGTACTGTTTGGTTACGATTAGGGATAGATTTATAGTTGATGTCATTTATTTTAATTTTTTTATTATCCACATTTTCCTCGTAAGTAGTCGTCTATCCTCTTGCTGGAAACCATAATAATTCAACCGAGGGCTTTTTGAAAGACTGAAAACAGGATGAGAGAGATGAACGATTCACAAAAACAGTTTATCTGTAGTCATCTCGGTGAATACATGTACAGAAACTAGTCTAACTTAGTGGCTGATACTCCTCGTTACAACTAGGACGTATTTTTAAGCCATGTAAGAAAAAAATAACCTGTTTAATGCGTTTTCAAGCATTTTCTTGTCAATATACATCATTTTTTGAGCAAACATTCCTCATTTTTATAATTGGTCAGCTGAAGGTCACTCGTACGTTCGCACTCCTGGGACGCTATTGTTGAACTTTGCCACGATTAGTTCATATTCAGTTATCTAGGACCATGAACTTTTAGTCGAACGTAATCACTAATATTCGGATGAAAAGTACACTCTGTTTAAAAAGTGTTTAACAAAAGTAGACCAATATTTGTAAGTCTGAGGTTAAATTTTGATCACAGCTCACACAATTATGTGTATTATACGTGTTGATACCTGTTTCATGGTTCATATTGATTAAAAAGAAAATAAGATGGCGAATTTAAAATAAACATTTTCAGAAAGCCGACAAATTCGGAAAGATACCTAGACTATTATTCAGCACAGCCCTCTACCACCAAAGTAACTGTGACCAAGAATCTGATTAACAGAGCCAAATGTCTAGTTACTGAGGAGGAGGAAGAGATTAGCAAGCAACTAAAATTGGTTCAATCCACTCTTGAATAAAATAATTATCCTAAAGCCTTCATAAAAGATATTTAGAATGTGAAGACAAGGATGAATCGAAACCTGACGCTAAGAATTGGGTTAGTACAGCGGTGATTCCTTACTGCAAAGAAACATCTGATGAGATAAAGCGAATCCTTAACGATCATAACATAAGAGTGTATTTTCGTGCAACTAACATCTTACGCTCATTACTGGTGAAGGTTAAGGATAAAACAGAACAAGGAAACCAGCAGAATTGTGTATACCACGTCAGTTGTGGGGACTGTGACGCCGTATATGTAGGAGAAACTTCCAGACAGGTAAATATAAGAGTGAAAGAGCATAAACAATGTCTAAAGGTGGTTCCAAAGACTTAAAGAAGCTAGAAAACAAATCAGCGATTGCACTACATTCGGTAGAAATAGGACACAAAATCGACTTTGATAAGACTAAGGTTCTACAGAAAGGTTTCAGTTCGTATAAGGAAAGACTGACTGTAGACGCTTTGCATATGTGAGTGAATCCCAACAGTCTGAACAGACGTGAAGGTGTGATGTTAGCTGATGCATGACTAATAAATAAAAATTGGATATGTATCAACAAGTAATCAAACTTGGTCAAAATTCCCGATTTTCTACATCTTCTTATGGAGAGGTTAACAAATGTTTTATGACTGTTCACCCACACACACATACACACACCATAGTATACTGCATATACACATATATTTTAACAAAAGGAGGCTAATTTTGAAAGTCTGAGGTCAAATTTTGATCATAGCTCATGCAATTTTGTTTATGATACATGTTGATACCTGTTTCATAATTCATGAATGGACAAAGTTTTTAAAAATAAAAGATGTTCCTTTTACATATATAAACCTCTGTTAAGTTAATTTCGATCAATTTCCCTGAAGAAGTTCGGACCAGATTGTCGAACGAAACGTTGGAATTACTCATTTCAATCTCGTTGAGATTTTACAAATATAATTTTTTTTACAAATTAGTTCCCTTTATGTACTTAGGACAAAGCAATAAGAAGACGTAATCTGTCTGAATCGTGTAATGTGTATTTGCGCAACACTTATTTCGAACAATCTGATCACACACGCACTTGTCATAGGAATATATATATGTGAAATTGATAAACAGTTAAGAGGCGAGAAAATAAAAGGACATATTGAAGGTCAAAATAACAATGAGGATCACTTAACCGAATAACACAGGTAATAGTACATCTACCATGGCTGGTATCAAAACAAAGTTTACCAAGGAAGGTTTAGTGTGATGACGAATTGTTGTTTTGAACGCATAAAGGTGGTTTAAACTTTCTAATCGCTCGCTAGAGCTTCCACAAACTTTAGGATGCAACCAAAACACGTTAATATAGATAGGTTTAAAAGATGTGTAAACTTGAATAAGGCATTAAGAAGACAAATTTCGCGAGATCATATCATTTATCAAAGGGACTAATTGTTTTAGATGTGTAAACATCAGCTTTGTCTCCTATCTCTATAATATGTTTGGGGATAGAGGAGCTAGGTCTCCTGTTCTCACCACTAATGAGTTCTGGGGATTCTATTCGCTTCTGAAGCCAGTCCTTACTTGAGGAGATCGATGAGTCTTTCCTATGTATGTCTCCACACGTCCATTCAAATGGGTAAATATAGTTGAATGTGACATCATTTTTCGCATCTTCTAAGGGCTTAGACGGATATACTGCCTTCACATTCTCAATTATTCTGATCTTAGCTGCATAAAAAGTCTTTTTAACATCAGCGTTCAATCTCTGTCGAGTTAACAAGCTGCTATGATCACCCATATAGGGTAGCTTGATGTACACTTCCTTCTTAGCGGCGAGTTGGAGAGTGGGTCTTGGTGTTCTGACCACTTTATATCCCCTAATGAACTTGTCTGGATAATTGTTATCAACCAGAGTTTGTGTCAACTTTCTTTCTTCCTCATCAAGTGTATCTTCAGTACATATCCATTGGATTCTACAGGAGAGACAGCGTACTAAGGGTATTTTGTACCAAACAGGCCAGAAACTGTGATAATTAAGATACTGTCCTGTCTAGTCCAGGTAGGTTTTCTATAAATAGATAGTTTTATTGATTCATCAAGCCGTCGACTAAGCAACATATCTAGGAAAGTATTGGTTTTGTAGGGGTTTTGTTTGATCGGTTGGAGGATTTCATCAGTTAATGAACCAGGTTTTCCAATGGTCCTCTATCTGATGTCAGCTCATGATGAAATCCTCCAAACATATCTAGGAAAGATAAACAATTATCTTCCTCTTCTACAGACGTAAGTGGCAGAACAAGGCTTATCACTTATGATTACAATGTTGTCTACATACCTTCTATAAAGTGGCATATTTCCGATTAAATCTTCTGATAAACTCTCACTGTATGACATATAGATACCTGCTAAAAGGGGGCCTAACGGAATTCCTATGGCAAAACCATCAACCTGACGGAAACAATCGCCTTCAAATGTAAACCTAATATTGCTAGTACATAGAAGTAATAAATCCCTTAAATAAGATATAGGGAACGGGATGAAAAAATTACGTGTGGTCAGATTGTTCGAAATGTGTTGCGCAAATCCACTACACGATTCAGACAAATTACGTCTTCTTATTGCTTTGTCTAAATTAATAATATTTTTCAGTAAGAATATGAATATAAAAAAGTCAAGTGGAAATATTAACGATAATGTAACAGTGAGAACAAGAAAAATGCTATTTACTTAGATTTCCTCAATTAGTTGATAATTTCCTGTCATGCACTTTTCTTATCACATAAAATATGTGCTAAAGAAGGTATTGTAGAGTTTCTGTACTTAGTCGTCCAACCAAACAGCCTTCTATAGTTTCTTCTAGTTCTACCCGACGAGGTGCAGCAGGGAGAGAGTTGTGATTGGAGAGTATGTTCAGAGTCTGACAGGATAATAGTTGCTAATTTCCTACAGGAATCCAAGTGTCTATCTACAATAGCATTAACGAGTTGGTTTAGCAACAACCCAATCGCCCCATTGACGGCTTTTAGTGCCCTACGCAGTATAACAAAGTCTTTCTTAAGTAGCCCGGGAAAGATTAAGTTGGGGTTAGCAGTAAAGAAGGATAGGCAGCATACAAGAATTAACAAACGGTAACAGTAGAGACAGAATGATACCAGATCGTCTTAACCTCCTTACACAGAACGTCAAACGAAATATCTTTCTGGAAACTAACATGATGTGAGAAGACCAGGAAAGGTGATCAGAGGAAATACACAGTCCAAGGTATTTAACATTCGATTTGGTTTCAACTTTAGTACCATCTGTGATAGTGGGACCATGAGAACTAACCAGTTCGCAACCAGTTCACGTAAGTCACGCTTGCATCTGAAAGTGATATCAGTGTGGAAATCGGATTTTGAACACTAATGACATGTCAATTCTCCTATATACTTCAGAGGCTTATTGTTCCACGTAAAGCATTTGCAATAGACTGCACACTTTACTGGCTCCATACTGAAGATCAGATGGCTGGACAGAAAGGACTAGCAACAAAGAACTCTAAGAATGGATCAATCAAGAACCTGTAGCCCAACAAATATTCCGAAGAAAATGGAAATGAGTTGGATACAAGCTGAGGAGACAGTTGAATGGCATCGCGGAACAAGCAGGTCCTCAAGTGAAACCTGAATGTGAAATAACGAGTTGGTACGGTTCGAGGGTGACATGGAAGAGATCATGTGAGGAGGAGATGACAGCCTATGTGCAATTTTTGAGCTGACTAATGCATGATCAGATAGAGATGTTCTGTTGAAGCCTTATGTTCTAGTCGGAACCCTAGGGAATAATAGTAATAACATTAAGACATTCAGTGTTATTCATTTGTCAATGGTATTTTTTTTACTTAAAACCATAGAAACCATAGAGTCAGTGGTCAAATAGTAATTTGCTCGCCAGTCACACAGGAGGTTCAGGTTCGGCTTCCGACTGACTCACTCCTAGGCCTCGCTTAGTTTAATAGATGGTAGTAGGTCAGGGAAGATCCAGAGTAAGGCTGACAACCCTAACCACCCACCGCAGTTTTGATCACTTCCTTGGTCAAAAGTACATACCATACCAACAAATGTATAAAACGACACAAGAAGAACGGAAGTCTCTTAATTCATGATGTCTACTTTGGTCTACAACATACTGAACTCATATCTGATCATATTTAACTATTACGACTTCTTGAAAGCTCTTTGTTTTTCCATCCTCTATCGCATCAAAAACATACTGGTTACATAATCCTGGCAAGTCTTTTACTTGAGCTAACCACACTCTTGTATCTCAATGTTGATCTCATTACGAACCAATATCAGTTGAAGAGGTCACTGAAAACTAGGCAGTACTGGACAACCGTTTCGTCCTTGTTTGGGACTCTTCACTGGTGCACACCCTACAACCCTAACAACAGTGATCGGAATGGGGATCTTCAGGTTACTCGTTGACCATTTTTATATCTGATTGTGTAGCAACGCGGTTATTTTTCAGTAATTTCCACGGAATAATGACAGAATATTCTTGTCTCCTGGTCATTATATATCAACAGATAAACATTAACAAATGACTAAACTTCGTAAACTGAGGCATGGTAATTACATGATAAAATATAAACTATTGAGGACACATAAACAAATAAGAACATGCTACCTACACACACTGGAAATGCACCATTGTTAGTATAAACAAAAAAGTACAACAACCACAACAAACAGCAAACACATTCACAACCTACTTCAAAAGCTGCGATGGAAACAGTTGCAAGGAATATAATCACCAGTTTATCTTTTAACATTGCCTTGTATTTATCTTTGCAACCCTGAGAAAATAAAAAAAAAGAGAACACAAGGTAAAAATAGTAAATATAAACAAGGTAGCAAAATGGACAGATTATTATTAATAATAATAATATTAATCGAACATGTTTTGTTAATTAACCATCAGTAAATAATAATAATAATTACTTCATACGTTAATGCGCGAGGTGCTGGTGCTGGTGGTTGGGGGCGGGGGGAGGTCGCGAACAGAAAATAAATTAATGTGAATATAAACCAACGAACTAACGCTAAGTATCCTTTAGGTACTGTTTCTAACACATTCGCTAAAGACTAATTGGTTACCGAGTAATTTTCATGTTTAATATACGTGAATTCAGTGATAATTAAACATAATGACTTGGCTTACTCTTCTACTTTTAATATAGCCTGATTGACTAACAAAGAACTTTGCACGTAAGTGCACTAGTTCGAGTTGCCACACTTACTCCATATACCACACAAAAGTAGAGAAAAGAGATAAGGAAAAAGACATTCCAAAGAACGACAATAAGCAGAATTTGTGAGGGAGAAACCATAGAAACATGGAAAATATGACAATCTAATAAAGAGTGAATGAATTTGCGCCATTGACAACGATTTCAAGCCACATAACCAATTATCTTAGAATCTCGAGGACCTCAGCCAGTCAGTCGACATCTCTCTACTTGACTGGCTAAAACTAACTGTGTAAGATTTCATGTTCTGATTCCATGTTTTGGTTTGACAGTCATTAGCTCTTTTCCAACCTGATCTTATGTCAGCTAATATTGATTGTTGAGGGAGGCGATGGCTAGGCAGGCGTAACACATTGCACTAATCATCTTAATCGATGTAGTTTCACAATCTTATCCATTGACTTTCCGGCGAAGTTCAAGAATAGCGTCCTAGGAGTGCGAACGCTCAAATGACCTTGAGCGCATGCTAGTGGTTGGCTGAAGAAACCTACGAGTATTCTAGCGCGAAAATGAACGCTGTTCATCAGCTCAGGTGCAAATTTCACCCAGATCACGTTTTTAAATACTGTCTGGATAATGGATTGATAGGATGTACTCGTATATGTAGTTGAGGTGCTTCAATGAGCCTGCAACCGTATTCACAGGTCATTGATGGATATATATTTAGATGTACGGAGTGTAGGAAACGAACGAGTGTTCGTACTGGTAAGTTAATTGTCTTCTAGGAACTTTCTTTGCAAAATCGAAACTTTCTTCGACGAATATACTGTTTCTTTGCCATTACTGGATTTTGAATTCCGCAGTGAGGTCAACTGCCGCTCAGACAAAAAATACGTTGATGTCAACTGTGCAGTGATTTCAGTTTTGTCAAGATTTAGCCTCATGGAAAATGAACAATATTACACAAGTGTTGGGAGGAGCCAGTGTTATCGTTCACATTGACGAAAAAGTGCTGATAAAGAAGAAATACAATCGCTGTCGTCCTACAACTAACAACGTTTGGGTATTGGGAATTTATGACACCCAAATTCAGAAGGAATTCATTGAACTTATTCCAGACAGGAGTGCCGACACTCTTCGGCCTATTATTTAAAAACTCGTTTTGCCTGGCACTACTATACACATGGATGAATGGGCAGGATATAACCGATTATCGGATTTAGGATATATACACAATCGAGTTAACCATTCCGATGATTTCGTCGATCCCAGAACAGGCACTCATACTAATTCAATAGAGGGTTTCTGGAGAAGATTAAAAAATAAAATAAGAGCAATAAATGGATCTCAAAGCCAAGTTATTTTTAATCACCTAGATGAATACATGTATAGAAATTGGTTTAATTTAAAAACTGACACTCCCCATTATAATTGGGACATATTTTTATCTCATATTAGAGAAAAATACCCTGTTTACTGTTTTTTCATGCTTTTTTATGTAAATATACGTAACTTTTTGTGCGAAAATCCCTCATTTTCCTGATTGGTCGGCTCAAGGTCACTCGTACGTTCGCATCCCTTGGGACACTATTGTAGAACTTTGCCGACTTTCCCTCGTTCTCTAACATTCTACATCTAACCTCAATATTACTCACCTTATTATATCATCTAATAGGGGAGACGGAATGATATATATATATATATATATATATATTATTATCAGCTTTCATATAATAATGATCGTGTGGCTTATATTCCGATACATAAAAGATCAGTTTCACCTAGTTAAGTTCAAACAAATATAAGTAGCCTAAACTAGAATTCTCTGAGATTGAATTTGCTGGAGTTAGTTGAATGCCGTATTTTGCCCCTGTGGAGTGAGCCAGTTACATAGGCCGTACAATTAGGCGTGTTTCTCGTCGAATTTCCGAACATCACCCGGTGTAGTTAAGTAAAAGACAAACTAAATCTATTCGTAGCGCTTTTTTATCTCATCTTGTGGATACAGAACACAAGATTGATGTTAACCATGCTTTCAGCGTCATTTACCGCATACTAACAAATCTCAATTTCGCCTTAAGAGTTCGACTACTGAATATTGGTAAGGCTGTTGGGATCCATATTAATAAGCCTAATTTATGCGTCCGAAAGAAGTTAGTTCAGACATTATCCTTACCTTGGCCATCAAGGTTCTAATGATGCTCAATTTATTGTGGAAATTTCCTTCATTTTATTTGATATTCTATTTGCTATTATATTATTATTATTTAAGCATCTTTAATGAATTGTAACTCCATTGATCTTACTTTACCAATCGATATTATTTAAAAAACACTAATATTGTTATTGACTACCAATCTAGAATATCTTATGTATATAGACATATATATATATATAATTGTAGAACCAGAAAAGAAAATTATCGAAAAGGATATTCTTTGCTCAATTATTTTGTGTTTTAAATGAAATTGTTTAAAAACTGTTGTACTAACTAACTTAAGAGTCATTCATAGATGATGACCTACTGTATGAAAACCATAACCAAGTTAAACGTGACCGATTAAATCTGAACATAAGGGTAGGGTGAATGCAGTACTGTTTTGTCTTTACAATTGCGTACAATCCACAATTAAATCAATGTTTCTCTGATATTTATGCTAAATTGAACAAATATAACACTTGTTCAACTGAAATCGCAAATCCTCTGATTGGACACTAGTCAGTGACTAGTGTAGTGTGTCTAGTCCTCTGTTTGGTGCAGACTGAATTCTATCAGTCAAGTTTGTAATGTGGCCAAAAGTCTAGGTGGCTTGCCATGACGGTGACTGGAAACAGTTGGCAGGATGCCCTCCGCGCTGACCTAGGTTTTGTGCTAGTTGGCACTCACCAGTCAAGCAAGGCGTATCTGCAACCTTGAAGGAACTCATGCTCCTTCTCAGATTCGAACCAGCGTCACAAACCCTTAATGAAGTGATACTTGACGTGACTAAATCGTGATATTAACAAACTGATTACATTTTGAAATAATACAGAAGATTTGTAGCTCGGGTGGATGATTTGCAATTAATAGTGTTCTCTGAGCTGGTTGGTTTAGTTGCAGAGCTTTCGTCGACCTTCTGGACAACATCTTCAGCGCAATATTTAGCATAAAGTGAAATGATTTAAATTTCTTTACTTTATGCTAAATATTGCGCTGAAGATGTTGTCCAGAAGGACGACGAAAGCTCTGCAACTAAACCAACCAGCTCAGAGAACACTATTAAATGCAAACTGATTACATTGTATGAATCATTTTCATTCATCCCATTAATAAATGCGATGACTTTAAAAAAAGGATATAACACTTTGATACGTTGGGATCCACAACGAGAAAACTCAGCGAAGTGTTTGAAGTCAAGACAGGAGTAAGACAAGGCTGTCTGTCCGCCATCATCGATGATATGCCTAATTGTGGTGGGTTGGATTATACGACAGAGTGTCTATAGGGATCGAGGCGACAGAAATACATTGGACTGATAAGAAGAATCTAGAAGATCTGGACTTTACCGACGATCCGTGTCTACTGTTACACAAACTCGAAGACCTACAGGCGAAAACTATCGTATAGTCAGAAGAGGCTGGCAGTCAGAAAAGACATGATTTCAAGTGAATACAGAGAAAATGGAGGTGATGAAGATAGAACCAACCAACCAACCAACCAACAACAACAACAACAAAAAGCACCAGTCACTACCAACAGAATATATTTGAAAGAGGTCACTTCCTTCACTTATCTAAGCAGCATCGTTTGAAAGGCAGCGACAGAACGGAAGTGAATGTCAAAGCGGGGATGGGAAAGGGCAGGAGAGACATTTGTCACTGTGAAATCAGTTTGTAAATCTATTGCGACCAACACCAACACCAATTTTAAGACAGTCAGTTCTTCTATATGGGTCAGAAACTTGGTGCAAGCGTCACGAATAGCATTTCGAATAGGCTACTGGAGACTTTTATCAACAGCTTTCCCTCCTTGCTGGTTCCATACTGAAGATAAGATGGCCGGGTAGACAGAGCTAGCAGTAAGAAACTCTGGGAGCAAACCAATCAAGAACCTGTCACTGAAAGAAAAAATATTCCGAAGAAAAGGAAGACAGATAAGACACGCATCAAATGAAATCGTGAGCTAGGACATCGCTGGAGTGAAACCCCAGTGTGAAACGACGAGTTAAGCGTTTGTCTGAGGTTGACATGGAGGAAACCGTGAGAGGAGGAGATGACAGGCTGTGGGCAATCTTTGCCCAGTTGGAGAGAACTGCAAAGAACCGAAACAAATGGAGATGTTCTGTTGAAGCCCTATATTCCTATCGGAACCCAAGGGAATAGTAAAAAAAATAATAATACGGTGTGTTTGTTATATGATACGTTGAAACAAATCAATCATCAAAACCCATATTTGGTGGATTAACTGTTGCAGGTGTTCATAAAAAAACGTTTACCTAAAGTTTGAAAAGAAACGCATGACTTTCATGACTTCCTCATTGTATAGTGCAAGTTCAACACCAGCGAGGACACATCAGTTAGTTTACCATATATTGCAAAGACATTACAGTATGATATGAAACCAAGGT